TTTTTTTTTTTGCTTGAAGGCTACTTCACAATTCCATGCACAGAAATATTTAACCTGAACACTCTGTGTCAATTTACAGCAACCCCATGAACGGTACAGGGTTTTCTTGGGCAAATGTGATGTTGATGATGATTACCATAACTAGAACCTTGAGATTTACCATGTGCAGCCAAGTACAAAAATGGTGGTTTGGGGAACAGAATATATTCCAGCCTTTATACATAATGTCTTGGGTGTATATGCTCATGTGACCAACTTTCACCCATAAATTTAAGATTAATTTTTTGCTCTTTCAGTGGCCTGATGTCAATCCAGTAAATGAAATGGATAGTATCGAGCAAAAGCTGAAGGTGAAAAGAACTGCCAGATTACCCCTCCTTAGGGGTAAAGGTTTTCCCCGGACATTTTGTCCAGTCATGTCTGACTCTGGGGGTTGGTGCTCATCTCCAATTCTAAGCCAAATAACCAGTGTTGTCCGTAGACATCTCCAAGGTCATGTGGCCGGCATGACTGCATGGAGCGCCGTTACCTTCCCGCCAGACCAGTACCTATTGATCTACTCACATTTGCATGTTTTCGAACTGCTAGGTTGGCAGAAGCTGGGCTAACAGCAGGAGCTCATGCCACTCCCTAGATTTGAACCTGTGATCTTTTGGTCAGCAAGTTCGGCAGCTCAGCGCTTTAACCTACTGCGCCTCCTTAGACCAGCACATACATGAATCTGGAGTATGTTAGTGAAAGAGAAAAATAAGGGGCACATTCATTATGCATGGTGCTCTATGCAGTCATGCCGGCCACATGACCTTGCAGCTGTCTACAGACAACGCAGGTGAAATGGAGATGAACACCACCCTCCAGAGTTGGACCCAATTGGACTTAATGTCAGGGGAAACCTTGACCTCATTTTGAAGAAGTTGAATTAGACTGATCACCAGCACCATCTACTGTCTAATAATGGAAAATCTAGTACTCCCCCCCCCCCCCCCCCCAGTTTGTGTTGTCTACCTTCAAGTTATTTCCAATTTATAATGATGTGGAATGATCAGGGGATATTCTGTGGCAGAGAGTATGTGAATTGCTAGTGAGCATTTCATGCCGATTAGGGATTTGGACCCTAATCTCCAGAGTCCAACACTGAAACCACTATATTCCTTGATTTATTACCCAGAAGAAATAGATCTCGGCTGACTCAACAATGTAAAAAATTCTGCACAGAATTTCTTTATCAGGAGATGGAGCTTCTTGATTGCTTTTGAAGCTACTAGTTTAAATACAAAAAGTATTTTTCTCCCTTCCTGTTGGCTACTTAATATCATTTTGAGAATCCTTCTTAAACCTGCTAGTTTCTTTCTTCCCCAGAAATTATCTGTCTGTATGCCGAGAAGACCTCTCTACGCAACCAAGCCCCAAGCTGCCCGAATCTTTAGCCAGCAACATTAACTTCTTCTGTTCCCCTCCCTGATAGCGGATATAAATGCCTGCCTGAGTGACATGCCCATCACTTTGGGGGTGAAACGGGGACAAGTTTTCTTTTAAGGAAGACGCTGGTAGAGCTGTTGCTGTGATTAGTGGTATTGTGTGAGATCAACAAAGTTTTATCTTCTCTCCACTCTGTTCCAATTATGACATCCCCACCTTAAAGTGCTAAACGATAGTAGTTAGTTGGTTTTAACATTTTGCTTCTTTTCTCTATTTTGCCAAATTATTACTGTTTGTGTCCTTGGATTTCTGACATTACTTTGTTGTTGTTCATTCGTTCAGTCATCTCTGACTCTTCGTGACCTCATGGACCAGCCCACGCCAGAGCTCCCTGTCGGCCTCACCACCCCCATCCCCTTCAAGGTCAGTCCAGTCACTTCAAGGATGCCATCCATCCATCTTGCCCTTGGTCGGCCCCTCTTCCTTTTGCCTTCCACTTTCCCCAGCATAATTGTCTTCTCTAGGCTTTCCTGTCTCCTCATGATGTGGCCAAAGTACTTCAACTTTGTCTCTAGTATCCTTCCCTCCAGTGAGCAGTCCGGCTTTATTTCCTGGAGGATGGACTGGTTGGATCTTCTCGCAGTCCAAGGCACTCTCAGAACTTTGCTCCAACACCACAGCTCAAAAGCATCGATCTTCCTTCGCTCAGCCTTCCCTAAGGTCCAGCTCTCACATCCGTAGGTTACTACAGGGAATACCATGGCTTTGACTAGGCGGATCTTTGTTGCCAGTCTGATGTCTCTACTCTTTACTATTTTATCGACACTGGACATTGCTCTCCTCCCAAGAAGTAAGCGTCTTCTGATTTCCTGGCCACAGTCTGCATCTGCAGTAATCTTTGCACCTAGAAATACAAAGTCTGTCACGGCCTCCACATTTTCTCCCTCTATTTTCCAGTTGTCAATCATTCTTGTTGCCATAATCTTGGTTTTTTTTTTTTATGTTTAGCTGCAACCCAGCTTTTGCGCTTTCTTCTTTCACCTTGATTAGAAGGCTCCTCAGCTCCTCCTCGCTTTCGGCCATCAGAGTGGTGTCATCTGCATATCTGAGGTTGTTAATGTTTCTTCCAGCAATTACTTTGTTTTTCCTTGGCTAAAATTCTGTAACCTAAGACAAGTGGCTGAATATATCACTTGAAAGAACCTTTGGGAGATGATGGCAGGGTATAGAAATAAAGTTGTTGTTGTTATTATTATTATTATTATTATTATTATTATTATTATTATTAACACAACAAGATGAGTCCACAGCAAACAAGATCATTCTGCTGGCTGTTGTATTGGATCACACGTGGACACTTCCCAAGTGTCTAGGACTGTGTGATGTATCAGCGAATAATGCATGCAGATCCCAGTAAGGTGGCCTTCTGCAGCTGGCAGATGGTAATTTTGTCAGCTGATTGTGTTTAAGTGCAGGCCAAGGTCTTTAGGCACTGCACCCAGTGTGCCGATCACCACTGGGACCACCTTTACTGGCTTGTGCCAGAGTCTTTCCAGTTCAGTCTTTGAATCCTTGTATCATGTCAGCTTTTCCAGTTGTTTCTCTTCAGTTATTATTCTTATTATCTCTACAAATACTACTATCAAAAAACCAAGAAACGGGTAGCATCCAATATGTTTATTGTGTGAGCTACTGTCCATGTCAAAGGGATTACAATTTACAGAACATTCAACATAAAAAGTACAAAAGATAGTAGCCCGAATTATTACCAAACTCATATAAAGAATAAGAGCATTTCAACATAAAAATGAAGTTGATACTTTGGGCCTCCATGGCAATCTGTGGCAGTTTTATCCAGATCTCTTTTTATGTTCTGTTTTTCAGCCAAAGCAAAATACTATGTTACATAATCATTGAAATCATCAAAAAAAAATGAAGCCACTCTACAAGAGAGATCCTACTCCTATGTGTCAGCAAGGGTTTCAGAAATCTTTATCTGGGATCACTACACAGGGGATACATTAGCATGTGATGCACAATGACTTCCACCTGAGCTACAGGTATTGTTGGGACATCTCAACTTCAGAGAGTAGTCTCCTCTCCCCACATTGCACCACTCAGAATCAACACTTCATCACCCTATTCATATCATTAAAGAAACTAAGGATGACCTAAAGGTATGCCAGGATTTGTTGAGAAGGTTTCTCTCTGGCAAGAGCTGCTGTATATAGGCATGAACCTGCAAGTTCATCGGATGCATTAGGTAGCATTGAGTTTGGCCGTACATTTCATAGGTCACTGGTATGCCTATTGATGGCTGCCAGCCTGGGTGAAGTTGGACTTAGCTTGAGATCTGGCCCATTGTCCCATCTTAGGGATGGCAGCTATGGGGCATGCAATATTTGCAAACAAACATGTCTAGTTTTGGTATGATAACTATGCAATGGTGAACATGGTTAATCAATGCTTTCTTTAATAAACACAGAAACAAGCATTTTAGATATCTAAAGCTACCAAAACTACACAACTACATTTTGTCCACAACTACTGAAAATCTCTACAAACTTCTCACCCTCTGGCTGACGGTTATTATCTCTTATTCATTCACCCTCTTTAGACAATAACGTAACCACACTTCCCCTTAAAGCAGAACTCTACTAATTCATAAATTTCACAATAGACCAAGGACTCCATCACTGCCGTGAAAAAGTGATGAATAGGGCCCAATCTTTCTCAAAGTTAGTTAAAGATTTCTCCTTAATCAGCAAAGGCGATTTCTCTATCTCAGCTATTTCACATATGTTCATTAGCAATTCTTCTTGTATTGGGATAAATGGTTTCTTCAATCTCTAAGTATATATAATTCTTGCAGCAGTTGTCATATATTATAGCATTTGCCCAAATGGGTCATGTGTTTCGTTTCACCAGTTTGTACTAGTGCAGTTTGTAACAGTGCAATTTGCAGCAGGCTTCAAACAATGACATTTGAAGTGGGTCATATATGAGTCCTCTTTCCAAAAAGAACTATGGGTTCTTGGGGAAAGAAATTAAATCAGGAAAGTGGCAACTTGATGTGACTATGAAAAAGTTGCCAACTAACCCCAAGCCCATACTCATTCCACATTCTCTTAGAGAGACTCGTGGATTGGAACAGAGGAGAAAACAGATGGAAGGAAGTTATTATGGGAACAATGAGCAGAAACAGAGTTAAGCTTCACTGCCCTACCCCGTTCATAGCAGCTTGGCGTAATCCAAATTGAGGTTTCCTGCTTTCTCGCCAATATCATCTCATTTTCCCACACTGACCCAGGAGGAGATTGGCTCGTCAGAAAATGAAGCATTGTTAAAGGAGCAAATCATATCAGACTCATCTGTAAAAATCACTGAACTGTTTTCATAGTCCAGGATCACACGGATATTCTTTTTTCTATCCTTGTTCAAATCAGGATTTGTGTAACAGACAGGTTGGAGTTTTGTATTTCTAAAGGGACATGGTCCTAGAGATAGTTTAGGAGAGGTGAATGCAGTCCATTTATATGTACCATTTTCAGAATAAAGGCATATAGCCCAGTTCCCTTCTTTCACACTTTGATAATATGGGAACCTTGGCATGCCTTGAAACCAGTATCCTTCTTGCACCCCTTGATCATGGCTATTCCTTAAGGACTCTTTGGCCACCCCTACAGCCCAGAATGTTGCATTCTCCATTTCTACCTGCCAGAAATGACACCCTGAGGTTATTTTTTCAAATCCCATAGTATAAGACAAGCAAGACAACTTGAAATCTTCAGAAGGAGCCCGAAAGGCCCAGATAGGCATTAAACTTGCCAGTTTACTATATGTTGTGACTTGTACATCATTTCCTGGAAAATGCTCCACGACCAGTGAGGGAATTTTCATGTCCTTGCAGATATTGCTGTAAGAAGAAGGAAAAGTTGAGAAAACGAGTGTAGGGTGTGTTTAGATAGTGGCAGGGTCAACTACAGTCTACCTCCTTGTGTTACATTGTTCTGCATGAGAAAGTGGAGGCATGAAAAAATATGGTTTTCCTTTAGTAGAAATCAGAGTGTCGTTCATCAGAAAATCATGCTTCACTGATTTTCTGATAAATGACTTTATTTAAAAGATTTTTAAACTAATCTGGGAAATAGTTTTCACAACTATGGGGGAACAATGATTATATAAAACCAAAATCCACTAAAATTTCCCAAGGTAATTTAATCAAACTAAGATGGAATAAACATGGGAGGAGGAGAGAAAGAAGCAAAAGAATTGTGTAGTTTTTGTGGGCTGACCAACTGATATAAATGTCTGTCCATAGAGGCTCTACTGCATGTGTCTAATGAAGCAAAGTGGGGGCACGTATACATTGGTTGGTAAAGCAGGGTCAGTCCAGCACAGAAATGCCAATTGAGAATAGCTGCAAAAGGGTTAGTGGAAAGTAAGCCAAGGGGATTCCTCTGCCCCTACTTTGTGAAGTAGTTGGCATGGAAACAGTCTCCAAGAATGACTATCAGTTGCTCACTATTTATTAACTTGTACAATACAACACATTGATATCAAACTCATATTCTACCCTACTTTTATTTTGCTTTAAAGGGTTGCAAATGCTCTATCTGGCGGAAAAATAGCCAAACCTGTCTTGCTTTGCTTTTGGAATTTCTGGGGTCGGTGGCAATATAGTAGCTAGAGAAGACAAGGACAAAGAGAAACAATTAATACTGATGCATACATATTCAAAAAGCAATATCTGATATTTCACACTGCACAGAAAGGCTTTCTGTTGGTCTAACTATCACAAGCACAGTTTTTGAAATTATGGGAGAAAGTTTTCTAACAGATTGCTCCCAAGCTATGAACGTTCTTCCGTAGGTGGCTCAATTGGTACCCCTTCTGCTGTTTACATAGGAAGGCAAGGAACTTTTATTTCAACAGGAATTTGGCTTAACTTATTGCACAGGAAAGGGTATTTTAAATGAAATTGACTGTTTCCAGAACCATTGAATCATGAGCCCAGAGTCCCCTCTGGGAGATAGGGCAAGTTATAAATAAAGTTTTATTATATAGTTTTATTATTTACTAGCTCAATCTAGTCCAACTCCATTCTACCATGTAGGAACACACAATAATAGCACTCCTGTCAGATGTTCATCCAACCATACTTTGCTGCCAAGCAATGCTTACTATCTGGAGGTTTTTCCTAATGTTTAGGTAGGATCTCTTTTCTTGCATCTATGTCCTAGTCTCTAGAGCAGCAGAAAACAAGCTTGTTCCTTCCTCAATATGGTGTCCTTTAGACATAGTTATCATATTGCTGAATTGTTTTAATTTGCTTTGGTTCTGTATTGTTATATTGTGTGTTGTTGAGGCCTTGGCCTTTGTAAGCCGCATCGAGTCCTTTGGGAGATGCTAGCGGGGTACAAATAAAGTTTAATAATAATAATAATAATAATAATAATAATAATAATCTACTCTTACTTAACCTTCTTTTCTCCAAGCTCCCTAAACTGCAGCTCATAAGGCTTGGCTTCCAGACCTTTTACCATTTTGGTTACCCTTCTCTGGACATGCTCCAATTTCTCAATATCCTTTTTGAATTGTGTTGCCCAGAAACTGAACATGCTCTTTCAGGTGATTTCTGATCAAAGCAAAATAGTGGAAATACTATTTCCCTTGACCCAGAAACTATATTTACCCTATTGATGTAGCCTAGAATCATTTAGCTGCCTCATCTCACTATATCCTTTAATTATGCTTTCACTATGTTTTAAACTTATTTGAATTTGCATTTTAATTTTGGTATCAGCAGACTTTGGGTATTAGCAATTTATCTACAGTAAATAATGGATAAAGCTAAAAAAAAAATCACAGAGTTGGAAGAGACCTTGTGGGCCATCCAGTCCAACCCCTTGCCAAGAAGTAGGAAGTCATTAGCTTACAGTGCCTGCAAATTTCAAGTAAAAAGGAACAACTGTATCCAAGAAGCTCAATTATAGTCCCAGTCACTGATACATTGGGGGGAAATGCCAACTCCCCACATCAGATAGTGTAAGAAACACTGCTTTAGCCTATCCTGCTGTACTGCATGTGTCTGTCTGGTGTAGGGAACTATTTTAATTACCAATGATTGGTGACAAAGAAAAGCAAACAGTCTCAGTGAGTGAAGCAAAAATCCTTTTATTTTCAAATGTGGCCACACTAGGACATACAGCCAAACAAGTCAAAAGGTCTTTCAAAAAGGTTGTGTGTGCCATTTGATTTTTCAGTTCTTTTTTATACACTTTTCTTGCTGTGTCATGAAACAGATCCACCTCCGGAACAATGTTTCAAAAACATGTTCTTTCACCTTCTTGTCACTTCGGGGCCTCTAAAACTGATAACCTTCAACATACTTAGAGCAAACATACATGTTATGACTTCAGACTGCTTCTTGGATGTCAGCCTGCCCTGTATCCTTGAACCACACAGCATCCTGTGCTTTCCAAATACTTTTATCTCTCTTTCCCTTTTGCTCTTCTGTAGGCCAAAGGACAAACCTCTCTCTTAGGCTTGCATTTCAGCATTTTTTAAACATTTTTTCACCTAATAAGCTCTACTCACTCCTTCACTGGGACCAACAAAATAAACAGCTACTTACAGACTCCATTACTGAGCGTAGGGGCAATCATCCTTGGATGCCTTTTGCATGAAGAAGTTTTCAAGAGATTGCTAGAAAGCCTGACATAGTTTTGTTGACTTACAAATTTTTTGCCTGAGGTGGTTTCTTTATTTTACATATTGTGCACATTGTTAGAGCTGGAGAAAAACTTGCTGAATTTATGCTCTTTTTAGTACATAACCTTTAATTTTCGTTCTATTTTAAAGGAGAAATGGCCAGAAACATCTGATTTGGTCGGACCTCTCCTGGAATACCATGTCCAGTTCTGACCAACACAATTCAAAAGGGATATTGACAAACTGGGATACATCCAGAGGAGGAGGAGGAGGATGATGATGATGATAATGAAAGATCTGGAAATCAAGCCTTATAAAGAACCATTTTGGGGGCCAAGGTATATTTAGTTTGGTGGAGGAAAGTCTGAGGGATTGACTATACCCGCAAAATAATCCAGCAGCAATTCAAAGTATTCTGCTTCAAATTAATCTATACATTCTTTAGCACCATACTTACTTGTACACCATGTTAATGTTGTATCGATGGCCAAAAATTCCCATTCTTAAATTCCCATTTTCCCCCCTGGAAACTACAAAGTACATTTTAAAGTAACACCAAATGGATTTAAATTACAAGAAAAATATTCCACCTAAGCATTGGGAAGAACTTCTTGACCTTAATTGCAATTTAACAAGGGAATAGATTGCCTGAAATGGTGATGGACTTCCTCAAGGTCTACATTGGTCTTGTGGTCCCTTCCAATTCTGATTCCAGTAGCCAGGATTTTGATTGGGGGAGGCGAGGGCTGAGTTTGTTTCAGGGGGGGGGCTGAGTCTGAGTGAAAGAGGGTCTACCCTAGCAAACCTTTTGTATTGTTACCCCAATCCCCCATGCATATGGGATATATTGAGTATGGTCATCAGATCATGATATGAATAAACATAACAGTTTAAACAATGCACCAGTAAGGCCTTCTCGCGGACCACCATGAGAATTTCGGGGGGGGGGGGCTGAAGCCCCCCAAGCCCCCCCCCCCCCCTCCGCTACATGCCTGCCTTCCAATGTATTCCAATTCCAATTCCAGTAACTTCTTTATTGGAGACTTTAAACATAAATAGTTTCTAGGTTCCATCCAATCAATCTTCATGTTATGAGTTATTGTATTTTAGCAAATCAATTTAAATGTCAAGAAGGTTAGGATATAAATTTAATTTTTTTAAACTAAATCAGATAAACTATGTTTTAAACCTTGTTTTGAAATTCAGAATTCATTATTCTTTACCTTTGAATGTATTGATGTCAGTTTGCAATCTATTGTGGATTTTACCAAAACGTTCAATACATTTCCATTGACGAAGAAATAAAGCTCGAGGCACCTCAATTTTTTCCTTCTTACACCTGTGGGGAAGTAAGTGAACATTATTTTTCCAGATAGTTGTTTCAGCAAGAAAGATGCAGGAAAAAGTAGGAACATTAGGGTTAGACATGGCAGAGAAGGTAATCAATTAATCCATTTATTGTCCAAACTGGCTGTTACAAAGAGCAACGATAATTTGGAAATGTTACTATTTCATGAAACAGAAGAAAAATAGGAAACATGTACACTACATATTTGAATGCACAGATTGTTGTTGTGATATGTCTCCAAGTTGCTTCCAACTTGTGCCAACACTAAGTTAACCCTACCACAGGGTGTTCTTTGCCAGATTTGTTCAGAGGGAGTGGGTGTCTTAGCTTTCCTCTGAGGCTGAGATAGTGTGGACAGAAATTAATACAAACCAATTGTAACTGCTGCTTTTCATGCAGGATTTTTGTTCCACGAGATGCACAGAAAACATCACAGAAAATCTTTTATCAAGAATCCATGTCAACTCAAGGAATATTTTCAAAATGTCAAAAAAGAAGAGTATTTGAGATGTGTTTGTAAAGAAAGGACATATCACCAATAAATATATATATATAACAATTAAAGCAGAGATCAAACAAGAGGTAGTCTTAGATCGGCCCCTTTGATTCAATCTGAAACAATGTAAGGAAAGTGTTTCCAATTTTTAAATGCTCTTATTGAAAAATCCCTGATAACCCCTGGCCCCAAAACTCATGGGCATGGTCTCGATCGCCAAGTTCAAGGCAACCTTTTACCCAGAAATCTAATTTGAGTTAACCCCCACAGATGTCTTTTACCCGGAAATACAAGTGTCACAAGCACTCAACAGGGGGAACATAGGAAAGCCCCATCACCCCTTCAGGTAGCAGGCATAATCCCCTAACAATGCCTCCATGCACCTAACAATGAAGCCAGACTAAAGGTCACAGAAGTTGCTGAAGGTTTCATCTATGTCCTTCTCCTGGGAACCCATTCAGGCTGGCAAAAAGCCTTTACTACCCCTTGTTTCACCAGCATGAATAATTGAACTCACTCTGGCTGGGGAAATTACCTCAAACCTATCCATATTCTTTCCCTTCCCACACCCACAACCTGGGGATCACAACC